TGACTCTAGTTACATTAGACCAGGGACATGTCGACACTAGTTAAATCTAACCAGGGACATGTCGACACTAGCTAAATCTAACCTGGGACATGTTGACACCAGTTACAAAAGACCTGGGACATGTTGACACTAGTAACATCATACCAGGGACATGTTGACACCAGTTACAACAGACTTGGAACATGTTGACACTAGTTACTACTGACCAGGAATATATTGACACCAGTTTCTACAAACCGGGAACATGGTGACACCTGTTACGACAGACCTGGAACATGTTGACACCAGTAACTACAGACCAGGAACATGTTGACACCAGTTGCATCTAACCAGGGACATGTTGACACCATTAACAACAGACCTGTGACATGTTGACACTAGTAACATCCTACCAGGGACACGTTGGCATCAGTTAGAACAGAACTGGGACATGTTGACACTAGTTACATCATATCAGGTACATGTTGACACTAGTTACTACAAACCAGGGGCACGTTACTACTTGTAACATCAGACATGGGACATGTTGGCACTAGTAACATCATACCAGGGACATGTTGACACCAGTTTTTAAAGACCAGGAACATGTTGACACCAGTTACAACACACCTGGGGCATGTTGACACTAGTAACATCATATCAGGTACATGTTGACACTAGTTACTACAAACCAGGGGCACGTTAATACTTGTAACATCAGACATGGGATATGTTGGCACTAGTAAAATCATACCAGGGACATTTTTACACCATTACAACAGACCTGGGGCATGTTGACACTAGTAATTATAGACCAGTGACATGTTGACACCAGTTTCTACAGACCAGGAACATGTTGACACCTGTTACAACAGACCTAGGACATGTTGACACTAGTTGCATCAGATCAGGGACATGTTGACACCAGTTGCATCTAACCAGGGACATGTTGACACCAGTTACAACAGACATGGGACATGTTGACACCAGTTACTACTGACCAGGAACATGTTGACACTTGTAAGATCATTCCAGACCAGGGACATGTTGACACTAGTAAGATCAGACCAGACCAGGGACATTTTGACACTAGTCACATCATACCAGTGACACGTTGACAATTGTAACATCAGACCAGGTACATGTTGACACCAGTAACTACAGATCAGGGACATGTTGACACTAATAACATCATAGTAGGGACATGTTGACATCAGTTACATCTAACCAGGGACATGTTGACACCAGTAACAACAGACCTGGGACATGTTGACACCAGTTACGTCAGACCAGGAACATGTTGACACCTGTTACGACAGACCTGGAACATGTTGACACCAGTAACTACAGACCAGGAACATGTTGACACCAATAACTACAGACCAGGAACATGTTGACACGAGTAACTATAGACCAGGAATATGTTGACACTAGAAAGATCATTCCAGACCAGGGACATGTTGACACTAATAAGATCAGATCAGACCAGGGACATTTTGACACTAGTAGCATCATACCAGTGACACGTTGACAATTGTAACATCAGACCAGGGACATGTTGACACTAGTCACATCAGACCAGGGACATGTTGCCACTAGTAACATCAGACCAGGGACACGTTGCCACTAGTAACATCAGACCAGGGACACGTTGCCACTAGTAACATCAGACCAGGAACATGTTGACACCAGTTACAACAGACCTGGGACATGTTGACACTTGTCACATCAGACCAGGGACACGTTGCCACTAGTAACATCAGACCAGGAACATGTTGACACCAATTACAACAGACATTTGACATGTTAACCATAGTCACACATGATTTCTGACATCTTGACACTTACACCAACAAACGAGAGCCGTGTTGCTACTAACAACAGCAGACCAGAGATATAATGGCAGTTATAACCGTGGAATTTAAAATATTCTTTTTTAGTTTTTAGTTGTGTTTACTGAAGTGCTCCAGTCTACGTAGATGTAAAGTTGATGTAGTGAGAATATGATTAGTAATTCTGTAAAATACTTTTGTTCTTTTAGGTTCACGTTACAAACGTCTGGATAAGCATCGGATGTTAGTCATGAACAGTGGATTATTTACGATACCTTAATGGCAACACCCAAGGAAAAGGACCCAATACATTGATAAGTAATATAGTGTCTCGTAGGTCAGAACTGACCGGAAGTTTTAAGGATGTTACGTACAATATGTTGTTTTTCGTGTGTGTATCTTGAAACAAGCTATTTTACTAAATAGTGATTCCAACATTATCATAAAACGGGGGTTACAACAGCAAATATGTGAATTTCAAAATCACGATCATTGTAAGCTCGAATTTACAAACCTTGGATTGTGAATTAGTTAATTGTGGTTGAAAAGAATTAAATGTAATTATCAGACACATCTGTAGCGTGGCTCAACGTGTTTACTGGTGTAAACACATCAACAGTATCAATGGTGCAGTCCTGGGCCAACATAGATACATACCTACAATGAACATAGCAGTGGTTAGTCGGTGGCTATTTAACTCTACCATACCAATCGGAGATCTCCAAGGCTAAAACGCTTTAATTAAATCTATTCATTGCGTTGAGTTGAGGACTCGAACAAAGGGCCGAGACCGCCAGCGAGTGGTTCCGCAAAGTGTGGCGTGTCAATGCCTGTAGCGCGTGTAAAAGATCACTCCTTTTTGAAAGAATTCAGCTTTAAGTCTCTGTCATAATAGCGGAATTTGGGCTGGTGCTTAACTGGAAAATAGGAATTAAGTTGGCCGGTACCATTTTTAATCCCAGGTGGAAAATAATTGTGAGATTTATAAATACCCGTGTGAAAGAGGTGATTATTTGTAAAGGAGATTAGGACGGATAAAACTTATATATGGCAGAAAATAAACGTGTATGTATACGATTATATAGTTTATTGGAAATTAGTGTTCTACATTCCCATAGTACACAAATAAAACTATGAGATCATGATTATTTAATAATTAAGCAGATTCGTGAAAAAAATCCGGTAGTGAAGATAAATAATAATTTTATATTTGACGTATCTGCGTCTGGTGGCACTTTAATCACACAGCGATAAAAAGGGGGTAACACACGAGCAGGTCGGTTCATTATCGACTAATAACTAACAAGTATATAACTGGTCAGCTACGTCCGACCTTAACCGTCTTGTATTGTAATTAGTACGTTAAGATATAATTGGACGTTAAGTGGACTCTTTTCCTTAGGCGGATTATCACACTGTTGAACTAGCTTTTTAAGTTCTTAACCAACTCGTGAAAGCAAATTAAATGTTTACGTCATAGTCACATAATATTTTGTTTGCAAATGCTAGATTTGCTTCGGTCTTTGTTGTTGTTGCTTATGTGGATAGAAGCAATACTTAGAGTCGTTAAAACGTGTTCCGATGTCGTTATTTGTTAGTGTAAATATGACATGTCACCCGTGTAAATTTTGAGTCGTTTTATTCACCACGTCTCAAATTCGTCTCATCAATAAATATCCATCATCGTAAGAGATGGGAACGTCGTGTGATAGACAAGATGGCGGGTAACATATACATGCATATGCAAATGTTGCTGACTAATTGATACATAAGATGTGATATAACATGTCTGGTATTTACTCGTTTGCATGATGAGTTTTAAATCCAATCAACATCAATTTTTGTTAGAGGTCAAAAATCTTGCATAGCAATGATGCTACGTGAGGAATTTGATTGACATATCGGTCGACTCCTACGTGTCCCCGGGGTAAACATTTCCCGTACAAATCCTGGCCTGATTATATAGATCATCGATATGATTGATAGCACATAACATGGTCCTGACACACTGGCCATGATGAGTGTCACACCCAGCTAACAGGCGGGCTGTGGTACACACACTCAGATCCCCTCTACAAGTGTTGAGTTTTTTTTCATCAGAGACGTAAAAATGTAGTAACATATATGTCTCTGTTTTCATCCCTCAAGATACCTATATAATTATATTAAGCGTCAGAAGCATAGGAGCAGGCCAGAATTAGTATTTAGTGTACATCAGAGATAACCCAGATAGATATGGCGTCCTAAATTAAATCAGATGTTTAACCCAGAACCCCTACTTATACCATTTTTAAAGAAAATAACTGTGCGTATGATTAATCAAGTAATGCATTAACAGAATTATCGATACAACATTTCTTTCATCTAAAAACGCAAAGATTTCGTCTTAAATTGAACAGAATATGTAAGGCCTATACTGGCGCAGAAAAAAAAATCGTAAGTGAATAAAGCTTTCGTTCAAAAGCATCCCACTGGTATGAAATTATATTTCTCAAAAAAATAATATTTAATATTAATTCGGTACCTAGATAGTTTACATGTTAAAACGATGCAGGGTAAGAGAAACATATAGCCAAGCTGCGCCGAGTATCACACATCTCTACTGTAAGGTTAGCTTGTGCAGCGTTATGCAAAGGTAGTGCTTCCTTATTAACTTGTAATGGAGTTAAAAATTACTAGTCAAAGGTGACTTTAATTTGTTTGAAATTCGTTTTATTGCAGAAAACAAAAACAAAAAGGCGGATACCTATATATTGATACAGCAGTCATATTCGAAATATATTCCCCATGATCCGATATACCTCCACAATAAGCGTCAGGTGTATTCATTGGAATTCACTGATCGGATATATATTGGTATAAATTGTATCTTCCTGTTTAGTCACTCTATGTGTCAAAAAAGACATATTTGACATTTTTACCACATTATGCGTCCCCAAGTTATGAGAGGTCACTATTTCGCTGCGTACATATCTGTTTCGGAAAAAAATTATCAAACACATTTCTGGTTTACTTCTATTTCAATTCTAATTTTGTTTTTGTGCCAGTGCAGCAACGAAAAGATATATAACAACATTCCCTAGTTCCTGCTACTGCTACAGTAGCGCTATGAGCGTGTGTGTATTGCAGTGCGTATATTACACCACAACCTGAACACCCCTCTCTAAGCTCCGAGTTCATTGGTCCGGTCAATGACATGCGCAGACGGCAGCACGTGTTCATAAACAAATTTTCATGAAAGAGGGATCACAGAACTATATAGTAGTGACTTGTAGTTTGGAATCTAACCCTTCTTAACTCAGGTAGTTTGCTACAGAGCTCAACGCTTGTTAACATGGGAACTGAAACTAACAAAGATGAGCGTAACACGCCAGAATATTTAGCACAGTTACTAAAAGACAAGAAACAAATTCAGGCATTTCCGAATGTTTTTGTACACTTGGAAAAACTTTTAGACGAAGGTAAGTTTACGTGAAGCTTGAAAACGTGCGAATTTCTTGGTGTATCTCGCCACAAATTTTGCAGAAATTGTTATTGATAATTCGGAGTGATAATATGATTTAATACGGACGCAAAACGTATTGGAATTTACTCGTGTGTCTATTAATTCTGATGGTGCATCCTACTTGGGCCTGGCCCACATTGAGGGGAACATGTCTACCAAAAGTTTTGGACTAAAAATAACACTAGCAATTCACTTCGTAAAAGTTACTAAAATTCTTTTAAACTCATATTTTGTTATACCAAATTTTAGTTTTTGCTAATTTCTAATGATTGTGACCAAATTCTGGGCTGTTGTGTGGGAAGTAAGCTACATACTCGCCGCATACCGACACAAAGCGAACAGCCCCGATTTTTGGCAGCCATTTTGAAACTTCTCCCGTCACTGCACACAGCTTTGAGTGTTTTTACACTGCGTGACTCATTCTTACTTCTTGATTTTAAGATTTCTCTGATTTTCTTTAAAATAATAACATTCTGACATCGGAAAATCTCAACGTGGAGTGATATCAACACGTAATTCCCGCGGTTTCCCTTATCTCCAGATTGTAAATATTACCTGTTGATAAGGTATGATAAATTGGCTCAGCTGATTTGCTCAGGTAGCGCACAACCTCGTAGGAAAATAATGTGTTCATTCGCGACAGAAACAGTAGAATCTTTCTGATTTTACCACTTATTTTGTTTTTATTCAGTTATTCAGTTTAAAAAATTATTGATTACATTGAATACTTATGGAATAAAACGTCAAATCAAAGTAATTATTAACTAAACAGATTGATGAATGAATATATGACAGGTTAAATAAATAGTTTTGTCAATAACGATAAAAATCTCGGGAAGTAACTCTTAAATCTGTGCTTTTAAACAAATCTCGTGATAGGCCTATCGTCAACTAATCAATAGAAAATTTTATTGTAATGAACACTCTTATTTACATTAACATGATTGGATCAATAATTTGTACTGCACGTTTTGTTGGGTTAAATGCCTGGACTATTGGCTTATGTGTAACCTAGGTTGGCCTATACCCATGTATTGGTTATTAGGCTGTTCATTGAGCTACTGTATGATGTATACTATTGTAGTAATATCTAAAAATTGTATTGAACATTTTTACATACTAAGCAGCATCAAATGACTATGCACCCTTTCCCCTATTGAAATCACCTGTCCACAGCACGGGATGTTTTAGCATGTCTACCTCTTAACCAGTTCATCATTTACGCTTGTCCGTCACTTCTGGTAACACTCATATGTCTAATATTTATTATCTGCATCTCTCTTGCTTGATTGTCAATTTTTTTTTTGCGACTTGTTGTCCATCTGAAAGAAATTGACAAAGGTTTGAGTTTGTAAAGACAAAATGTATGGGTGCAAATCACATGTCACATGAAGTATTAATAACCTAGTTTTCATTAAGTGTATTTCTCCAATATACAAGAGTCTTTCATCATTTAACCTGTGATAGCTACTTAGAGTATTTTGTGTAAAACAGTAACATTTTTCCCACCATACTTTACATGTTCTGTACCATATAATGCAGTCTTCAGTGTGCCAACATCTGAGCACTGGGTTACCATCTAATCTACTAATATCCCTCCCTATCAACAACTATTTCCTTGTTGTTTGAAACCCATTAAAGGATATACACTAAAGAAAATTGTGATCCCAATATGAGAAAAAAAGTGTTTCCAAAGAGGAGGATGGATTTACGAGCGGCCAATACGCTGAAATTGTTGATGGTACTTCATCTTAAATTATCGGCTACACAGAACAGTGACAGGTATGGTAAAACATGTCTTTTGATGAATTGTGGCAGATGTTGTAACTTATAAATGTTGTTTCCATTTTAAGTGTTGAAAACAATATTGAATTAATTTTACCTCCAATACCTATATACTCCAATGGAAAAGAGACATTGTGATCAATTAAAAATTGAAAGACTTTCGAAATTATTTCCCCCTTGAAATAATTTCAAATTTTAATAGCAACACGAGAGCTGGTAAAGCTGCAGGTGTAAAAAAAAAGAGTACATGTTGTGAAAAAGTGTATTCTATGAATTGTCCAAATGTTTGTGTACACAGATTACATACAAATTGATTTCTTGTGACTTTGTGTTGAACATACATCACATTTGGAAACATCATTTCTTCATGGATTTAGAGAGCTGAAATTGACTGTATTTATACTTTACGCTCATCGTGGAAAGAGGAATAACGATCAACATCTGAAACCAGGACAGAACAACACAAGAACTCGGTCCTAAACTCGAGATACTCTGCAGTATGGTGACTGACATTTAGATAAAACTGGAATATAATTCGACTTTGTTAAATTTACTATGTGTGTATAAAACTGGAATGATAAACCACTATAAGTTGATTACATATGTGTTTATGAAAATCTGTGCATACTGAGAGGAGTTATGAATTAAAAGGAGGATAACGAAATTCATCAAAAGAGGTAAAGGTATTTTGATATAAAACTAAAAGTAATACATGTATAGGATATTAAAACCGTTCTTCCAGGCTAGTATAACATTTTTGAACATTTAAGGTAATTTTTTCTTGTTTGTACCTGTCAAACCCTGTAATGCAGGGACAGAACAAAACTTACAAATATGGATATCATATAACAAACAGATTTATCAAAACTATTTCATAATTCTTGACTTGAAGTCTTTTTTTATATAAATCAGTTTTAAAATTAATGCCTTGAACCATACTTAAACGCTATTTATCAAATTTAAATGAGGTGGGTTAAAATAAGTACAAGGCACATATTACAAAATATTGAAATGGATCACATTCTCTAGCATTGAGCTGCTGACATTGGCCTAGTGTGATTATTAAGAGATAAGCCTTGCACCGACTCTATGAAATGGGGAGGATTTAGGCTCCATGCGAAGAGGACACAGACTGGCTTTGTGAGGTTGTCCTATGTATAGCTGTGCTAGTCGGCCTGGAAGGGTGAATAATCGGTGTGTAATTACAAACCTACACAGATACTATATATTTCACACCCCATTGCACAAGAAGACCTGACAGTGCCCATTCCAGACCAAGGTTGAGTGGAAAATTACAAAACCTTCCAGATAAAATGATACCACAGGGTTTATCTTTGGACTGTTTGGTGTTTTTTAAACATTCTTTCATGGGCTTGTTAAAAAAATCTTTTGTATGGCATTGCACGCCTTTATATTTTATAAGATTTGTTTTTGGTAATATTGTTAATATATAAATATCTTGCTAAAGATGATTACCGGTTTTTGTGTTAAGATTGTAATATTCCATGTGCATTGAAGTTCTTCCAGGAGTTTACATGATATCTCAACTCGCACAAAAAGTTCCTTTGTATATATGACTCACAGGTGCATACCATGAGGTGTATACACTATCTACTTTGAAGTCCCTTCAGCATATATACCTTTCTTGCACGTACATCCTCATGTCCTTCCCAAAAATGGGGGCATGCATGAGGGGGATTTAAGGTCAGTAGCTCTGGATCCTTCTCAAATTTCTCTTAATGTTGTGATATCTGGGGCAGTGCATTAGTTAATCAATTGTACAGCTAGCTATAGGAACAGCATTGACACGATTGGTTAATTTTTAACTAACGTACCAACAAATACATTAATTTTTGACCATTGAGATTGTTTTAATGAAGGTTTTCAACATGTGTACTGATAACTTTGCTCTAGCTTCTCATTCCCGCTCTTTTTAACTAGTTCACCATCTTTGGAGAAATCTTGTAGCTACAGTAACGGGGAATTCGTAGGAGCTTTGAACATGTTCAATATGCAGTATCTGTAAATCATGACATGTTGTACATTTTGGATTGCCTTATAGTCTGTTGTAATGACTTGTTTCTAGGGAATCCGACACAGTCAATCACAATGTCGTGCTGATGTGTCCCCTGTGATGTTCTGGGATATATGCAGCGATAGGCATTTTCTTGATCATCAGATTTGAGAGTTTCATTTATAATTCATAAAAAAACCTGTGCAAGACATTTTACCATGAATGCATTTGTTTTTGTTGTTCGACAATCCGAGGGAAGGATACTTTTGCAGAATAACTGAATTTCTGAACGAATATAGCATGCCTGTAGCTTGTGTTTATTTGTCAATGATTGTATCTGAGGCTGTAAGCCAGTCTACTGCTATATACCCAACCATGCACTCTCAGCTGTTCACTAGATCAATAAACTCGAAAGTCACACTGGGATGGTCAGGATTTTGGTATAACAGTTCAAAAAATATTGCCAAATAGTTAAACTACATTAACCACTATTTCATGTATTGTGAAATTTTTTATGCACTACACAATCCTGCATTGATTATCATTTTATAACTTTCTTATACAAGAGAAAATGAAATCACGCAGAGGTCAATGATGGAGAAATCCCTGTAATACATTTCTACCTAGCTGTAGACTGGGAGCCTTATGAAAACAATTATTTTAGCAGCAAATGATATATTGGAAAGAATTAGAACCACATGTCGATTGACCAAGGCCACAGTGGATTGGCATATTCTCACCACAAAGAGATCTCCATCAGCTTGTAAATGCCCTGCTGAGTGTGGCCTCTTGAGACTCCTAGCCTCCTGTGTGTGCCAGTGCTGCCCAATCTGGAGCATGTGGAGTTCCCACAGTCCTCATTATAGGGGCCATGTGGGGCTGGTTCCAGAGTGTCTTTTAGAGGGAAAGCAGGGCATCATAAATCATGCAACAGATAAATCATTTTAAGAGTATTACACAAATATTGAATATATATCTGAATTAGGAACCTTTTGTCGAAAATGTAGCTTATATATATATATAAATCTGTTAAGTTTTTATTATTCTGGGAAAAACAGATGACATTGCTCAGTTTTGAAATAATTTTCGTGTCTAAAAGCTTTGAAGAGTTTGAATGGGCCTGTCGTGTCTTTGAGACGTATTTGCAGTTGGTCAATAGAGAGGTGTACAGAAATCACCACTCTATATGAAAGTTTATGGCTTTTGTTTACTCCTGTAGCACTCTTGAGGACTACTGATATAGGTAGCCAGGTAGCAGTATTTAACTGTTATCTTTTCTCAGTAAAACTGAAATTATCCAATTTTTTGCTGTCTGGAACTTACAATTCAAGCTTGGACACGTAGTGCGGGAGATTGTTAATTTATTTTTGTCCCATTTTGGTATTTTCTTTCTGATTTTTTTAATGTTATACAGACAAAGTTACCACTAGCTATATATATAACACTAGTTTATTTCATAAGCTTACAGCAAATACAGCCATGGGGAGGGTATACCATAGTGCTGCCAGTTTTTCGAAAACTACATGTACGTGATGCATTTATAGTGGATAACGGTGTGAATCATTTGCAGGTGTTTTTGTTTGTGCTGATAGGCTAAAGAACAGTCGTTCTTCTTCAGTCTCGATTCCAGTACTGAAAGGCTAAAGAATAGAATGATGGAATTGATCAAAGGAAATAGATATAAAGCACATACAAATTAATTACTGAATATTTGTATTGTGAGCCAAAATATTATTTTGTATCGGGTTTATACCTTGTTTTGTGTTGGGTACGTCTTTAGTGCTGTTACTGCTGCTGGCTACAGTCTGTCTATGTAAAGGGAACCCTACTAATTAGATGATGGTATACAGTTATATCCCAGCTACGTTTACCTTTATCAAGAGTTTGTTTCTGAAGAATAAAATGGGGAAGAGCAGTGCAAATTGATATAGCATTTCTAGATATATTCTCCGACCACCGTGATGCAGACATCATTATTTGTGTATATAACACTGAAAGCTCTTGATGCGTTTTATCTTTATATATTGTCAAATGATGCAACATTCACAGTAGGTAATACATACAGATTACATGCAATTTCACTTCTGTAAAGACTTTTGTTATGATATATAGATGGGAGGAGTTGAAAGCATAATACTCGCAATATGGTGAATGGTTCAATGGCTGTGTATAGCTGGTAGCAGTTATGTGCATTCCTGGCAACACATCGCCCAGATTATTATGGTTTCTCTGTTTTGCATAGAAAGTTTGAAGTTAATTTTACAATCTTGCAAACAAAAAAAATAAAATTAAGGGAATGGTATACAATTATTATGACCTCCCCTTCTTTATGTCTGGATTCTCTCATAATGGCTCCAGTGTATGTACATCAAACAGATTCAGACCCTTACATGCTAGCCTCTTTGTTTAAATGTCATTTGGCAATCATTTTTTCAAGTTTTAGCAAAGAAATTCATGCCAACATACAGTTTGGACTTTGAAATATTTGGGAAGTACAGAAGAGGCCCTTCTGGCTATAGCTTAGAACTTCTTTCACAAGCTTACCCTGCAATCATCTCAAGATGTTTGACGTTTTCTCATTTTATTTAGCAGTGAAAAAACCCTGAAAAATGAGGAAACAGCAGGGCAGCACTGATCACAAGCAGATGTAGAGCTGTGTAAGAATCAGGGCACCTGCAGGAGGTTGTGTAGTCCTGCTCTTCCAAACTTGTGGAGGGAGATCAATCATTTCCCCTCCCCCCTGCCTCTCTGTAAGTGAGGAATGTGCCCTATCCTATATCCCCCCATCCCTGCAGTGCCAGTCATCTTGGCCATCTTGGTGTATATAATCCCAATCCCTTAGCAATACAGTCACATGTCTAGTGTGGTCAAACCCTGTCCCAGTCACATATTCATTTAGAGCGTCCTTGTCCTAATCCTGATCACATGTCCATTGTGAAGTCCAAGTCGCATGTTCTTCGTGGAGTCTTGTGTCCAAGAAATGTGTCCATGGAGTCCCTGTCCAAGTCTGTTTGCATTTCTTCAAAACTTGTTGAAATGACACATACATTTAAATCTTTGTGCACGATATAAAAATTGTTCAGCTAGGTACATTTATCAATTTAGATAAGTGAAACAAGATAAGAAGTCAACAAAATGCATTTCTTGCCTATAACATTTCATTGTTATATTTGCTGAAAACAAAAACAAAATGACATATCCTTTCGAAGATGTATGGCTTAACTAATTCTGTAAGCTTAGTAGGTTGATGGAATTTTGGCATTTCATGTTACAAATTTTGATGAAGAACTTAATTTTGTGGTACACAATTTGAAACAGAATGATGCCCTTGCCATACCTGAAATGGAGTGTTCCCCTTGGTAGACCCGGGTGGTAGATATAGATGTTAGGAAGCAGAGAGAGAACGGTGTATAACCAAGAGCTAACCAACCATCCTCTTTATGGATAAGGATTGTCCCATACTTTTACTTGGTCCCACCAATCATATAGCATCCTGACAAATAGTCTTTGGGATTTATTTACCAGGTCTACTACACACAATAAGCAACACAAAGAAGTTCATGGCTACCTGGAACTATTGATTAAAGTTACCAAGCCCTTCTTGTCAAAAACACAATACTTTAGGCCTTATATTGCTTGATTGGAAATGGCATGATAATCTGATAGATCATGTTGGGTGTGTAATTTTTCTCCATATGGATGTAATCGTTAATCTTTTGTGTACATATATAGTTGCAGTGATTTTAGTAGGTATGATGTAGTAAGTTCTCAAAATGTCTGCAAATCCCATAGGAGAAGCTCTTGGTCAGGACTCAGATATTTGCGTCATAAAAATAAATAAATATATTTTATATAAATGTAAAATTTTGATGAAATTCAAACCAATCGTTGCTGATTCTGTAACAGGTGTAATGTTATCTATAATGGAAACTGAACTTATTCTCCTGGTAGCTATAGAGTGATGACTGATGATAACAGATACATGTATATATCTATGTGTCATTGTGAATACTGTTTTTGTTGCTGATGTGTTGGTAGGACCTAAATCTCATGTTAGAATATGTACATGTAGGAATGTTTCTGAAAACATATGTCAACGAATAAATTAACTTTAGCGAAATTGGCTAAAGTTAGAATTCTTAGGACTAAGTGTACTTCTGAAGGGATGGCATGCAAGTAATGGCATACTATCTGTGTTCTGGGTGTGACAGTTAGTTTACATGAGGACTGGCATATACGAGGTGTCTGTGTTAGATGTAACAAAAAAGTGAAGGATTGTAAAGACTGTAAAGGATGTTGGTATGCTGGATATTACAGCTTGGGCAAGTTGTCACGGCTCCCATAGGGTGTCTGTGTGCTAGCTTTCATCACAGGTTTATTGTCATTGTTGCACGTTTCTTTTTGAGGAACTGCATCCTCAATTCTAATTCTGCACCTCTAGTAGGGTAAAGGAATGAAGGCCTGTTTTATAGTCCAATTAGGTTAAACCCAATTATATTTGTTTCATTACCATTGCTATGGTACGCTTCAATTCAAGGGCACAATAAAACCATCGTATAATGACGACAACTCCTTCGGAACACTGTACAAAGCCTCAAGATGAATTGAGGTTTCTTTATTTTTTTCAACCATGGTTAATTTCTTTTCAGAAGACGCAATACAGTTCAATCATACCTGAATTACTGTACATAGTTCAACAAGTGTTCAGTTAAAAAATGTATTTATATCTGGATAGAGGTCTCTGAACGATATTCAAATGTCCTTCAGTTCCTCTGGGGAGCAATTGTTTGTCACGTTTTATGATTTTAAACAGTTGTAAGAATTAAAGATACCGGGCGGTGAGCAGGGTGCAGCGTGTATCCATTGTCACTAATTTGTTTGTTCCAACATGTACAAGGTTTATTTGTCCCGGTATGCTAAGTTTAATACCAGAGGGAATGCTTACTGACTTGATCTAATAGCTGGCAACTGTTCATCCTAGATTAACATCACAAATTCTAAATGTGTTTTATCCCATCATTCAGTATACTCAGTCATGTGTACAGACAATGTTTCTACAATCAGATTGCCATGTAGCTACTAAGAATATGACACAAGTTTGTGTGCCAGGTTATTCTGATATTCTCAGCATTGTCATTTGTATAAGAGGTGCCACCATTTGAAAACTTGGTAGGAGGTTTTGATTGGGAGCTACTAATAAGCTAGCTGTTGTCTTATCGTGAAAAAGCAGTAAGCTGCTAGGGTCATTGTCTCATTTTGTGAATGCGTGTGTGACCGAGATATACAGTAGATTCAAATGTAGTAACTGTAGTCACTGCCAGAATATATCATTTTTCACTTTGTAAGGTATGTGGTATTCTACATGTAGTTCCTTTTTGTTTAAGTCTTAGGTGTATGTTAAATAATGTCAAATCACTAAAATGTCGAAAGATGAGAGAAAAAGGTAGAAAGTCATTTTGAGATGGTCCGTTACCTCAAGTCTCCCCCCCCCCCCCCCCCCCCCCCGAAGTCTTTAGTCACTGATGGATATTATACTGCAGTTACTGGTAGCTAGGGATGTTTTTAGATTTTTGCTGCTTTACTGCAGTATTTGAAATTGTTTTCTTGTTTCTAGGGTTGTTTCTAACTTCTTTGATTTTAGTTGCATACATTGAGGAACTTGTAGCCTTACTTTTGTTCATTACCCAGTGTGACGTAGCATTTTGTTATTAGTGGCCAGTCCCCTCATAGTAACAAGGATTCGGCTGTAGAAGTTGGCACCAACAAGCACTGTCCTGTCCCACTCTTGAACAAACAACAGAAGCCAACACTGTGGACATGCATGTCTGATCTTTTAGGCTTGATGTACATCATATGGAAACCTTGTCTGTAAACATCATTATGTGTGCCAACATCAGCTTTCCCATTCTGTCTGAAGCTAGTTAACTCATTCACCCCTGAAGACACATTTGAACTCTTCCTAATCAATGGTTGGAATAGTTCATTATGAAGTTTCAGGGGTGAATGAGTTAAGCGGCACTAATGAGCAGGCCAGGGGATTCCATCTCACTAAGCTGTTGGCTAATTGGAGAATGGTCACTAGGCAAGGCTACCTGATAATTGCACACACTGCTGACTCTTGTTCTACAACCTCAAAGATAACGATGTAAATACTAAATGACCCTAGTAGGTTTATTTTGCTGTTGGTAAATTCACTTAACTGCACAGCTTTGCTGCTAGAGTACAGCTGCACTAGCATCTAATTTGTATGTTGAGATTGGAAGGGCACTCTTTTGTTGGCAATTTTACCACACTTTCAATCCTGTTAAGAAGATATTTGCTCATTCATGAAGGCATTTTAACATATTTTTTTTTATTTAATGTTTATTCATGACTGTATATCACAAAATACTGTCAAGAACATGAAGTTGATATTAGGTACTTGAACAAATTTTTATGGAAATGTGTGATTTTGAATTTGCTTGCAACTGAGGAAATGGTTTGTTGTTACATGTAAATGGTTTATAGCAAGTTCTACTGTTGCGACAGTATACTGTCTTGCTTTGATTATCTTCCTAGAGTTATGTTCGAACTACTTCTAGTTAATGACAAACTTGAGTACCTGCTACTCTCCATGAGTCACGTTTAAAGGAAGCTTGAGTATTTTACACGAGCTGTGATCAAGGTAGTAAAGAAGCTTAACTTATCTCTCCAAGTTGTGTTCAAGGTAGAGACAAAGCTTGAGCACTTTCCTTCAGTTGTATACTAGGTAGTTAAATAAAAGCTTGATTCAGTAGTGTGCTGAAGTGGTGTACTATGTACAGTGAGTTGACCCTATGAGTGGATGATGGTGGATGTGTTGTAGTTTGTTAAGCCTTAAAGATGGGGACAGGAACTTGTGGAATGTGTGAATACACATGTTACCCTGTGATAACATTTGTAAGATGTAAAGCTTGGTAGAATTCACATGTACACACAGACCTATACATGTATATATACACACAAATAATGAAAAACTATGTAACAGTAATTTATGTCATTTTTGCCCTATTTGAACTCCGGATGACTTAATATAAATGCTAGCTCTCAGTTCATCAATCACTCCCAGACAAGCTATAAAACATAACCATGTAGATTCTGCCTGTAGGGGGTTAATAGGCAAGTTACTGACAGGAGGACTTAGTTTTTATAGAAAGGAAAATTGATCGTAACAAAACTTATTGTCTTTAGTCCTACAAGTCCATCTTGGTTTGTTGAGTTAAGATTATTGGCCAGTGCATGATGTGTCAAAGGTCATTTAGGATAGAAAGGAAAATTGATCGTAACAAAACTTATTGTCTTTAGTCCTACAAGTCCATCTTGGTTTGTTGAGTTAAGATTATTGGCCAGTGTATGATGTGTCAAAGGTCATTTAGGATCATGAACCAGACTATGGCACCCCTTAACATGGTCTGGTTAAAACAACAGGGGGGTATAGTGTTAGTGTACTGGCATGGGGTTCTGGTCAGTGTCAGGTTTACACGCAAAAAGGCCAGCCATGAACAGCCAAGGGGCATATGGTATTTGACCTTCCTGTCCACAGGCCCCTTAATTACAGAACTAGAGGTCATACTAACCTTCAGCTTAGGCCATGAAGGAATGCCCCACTGAACACATAATCATAGACGAGGTCAAATGTTGATAGTCCCTGGTGTATTCTATAACCTGTCATTTCATTACAACTTTCTTTGGACACTTTTTTTCATATATTTTATGGACAAGAAAAATGCATTTAAATTTTACCTCCTAGAAGCAAAATTAATTATTTTATTGTAAGAATTAACCCACATTCTGGTAAAAAGTGAAGAGGTTCACATTTATAAATATATATATATGTATTAATAGATTTTGTACATGTTCTACAATGGCAGGTTTCTCTGATTGTTTCATGGTGTACGTATATATGTTGGTTACAAAATTCCTCCTTTAAATACAAGTACTTGTATTAAAATGTACCTAAATTAACCTTTTGTTTAAATATAGATTATTTGACAATTTATATTTGTTAATTTTGATTCCTTTATTTAAATGTATGTGATTTCACGGTGTGGTCTGTATTTGGTATAATTACCATTATAAATGTAACCTAATAGTGATTGTAGAGATATGTCCCATACCTAATGGCTTTGCTTGTGTTCACTAAATTGGTCTAAACCTGTATATTCTGCAGGACTTGTATCCTATGTACATTATATGTTTATAAAGTACAGTATTTGAATGTAATATATTACCTATGTATTGTACATAATTAGATTACACACTGACAATTACTGCAGGGTTTTCCTATTCTAGTCGAAACCACAGCTAAGGTAAAGCTTTTTATCAATGCACCAGGTAAACTGTTTTTACATGAAGAGACGAACAATCTTCAACTATTAAGAGCAAGACTAAAATCTAGGGTTGATGCTTCCGATAACAATATATGACTGTATACCTGTCCATTTTTCACAGTCACGAAGTCAAAATGCTGATGAATAATATGAGCTCATGTTTATTTATATCTAGTCAGAATTGTATAAGTTACAGTAACCACACCTGTTTTCTGTATGATAGTTTTGTATTTATGTGTTGAGAGTGAGACAATTTTTTTAATTCCAATTTATGTGGTCCTAATTTCATTTAGAATAAAATCCTATAAACAATAATCTTTAACATGATGAGAATTAAAATACTTAAAAGAGATTATTAATGACTAAAAAATAATGGTTGAAATTAAAACAAAGTAACTCTAAAAATAGTAACTGAATGCATACCTTATCAAAATTACTAAGTTACTACTTCATTAATTAGCTAATATTGATATTAGGCAATTAGTGTACTCGTGGAAATCAATAAGGGGACATTTACTGGACAATCACTGGTGCCAGGTTTGGAGGTCAAACCTGAAGAATTGCCAGTATTCAATTTCAACAGAAACAATAGTTATATCACATCTTTATGGTAGTACACAATTTTGATTTAAATCAGAAAGCCAGATATGTAATCTTTGAGGACGAGATAGAAAACAGTCTTTGAGTACGAGATAGGAAACAATGTTTCAGTGTGAGACAGAATGCTCGGATGTTAGCTGTGATGTAAGTGGGTGTTCACTGTAAGACCCAAATTCAAATTTTATATGAGTTTGCTGTTTGTATATTTTCAGAAATCAACAGAGTTCGATTACAGTTATTTCACCATAAGGGAAGCAATCGAGATCCCCTTCCATTGCCTGAGGTACAGGGACCTACCGTCACACTCTCAGAAAAATTATATGTCCCCGTCAAAGAACACCCAGATGTAAGTATATATGGGGAAAAGAAAAATCTCTGGTTAACTTATTCATCCCCTCATATTTAAACTGGACTTGCCCAGCCTTTGATTTGGTAAGGTTCAAATGTGACTTTCGAGGTGAATTGGTTAATGGACAGACTTGATTTGGAAGAGGCTTTTTAGGTCACCTGAGCTTTAGCTCAAGTGACCTATTGCTATCCGTCTTCGTCCGGCGGCGTCTGGTGTCAGGCGTCCGTTAACATTTTACATTCCAAACTTAAAGTCAAGTTCTGCTGGGCCGATTGAACTGAAAGTTGGTAGGAATGATTGACTCATGGTCCTGACAAAGTGTTGTTATTTTTTGGGTCAACCAGAAATCCAATATGGCCACCACGGCCGCCATTTTGTAAATACCTATTTCAAACTTAAAAACATGTTCTAATAGGCCGATCTAACTGAAAATAGGTCTAGGAATACTATTTTTTACTCAAATTGGTACATATTTCAACAACAAAAATAAATACTGTAGGACTCAGGTGACCGTTAAGGCCCATTGGCCTCTTGTTATGTAATTGTATGCCCATTTTAGAATTATAGTACAAGACTAAATAGTCTGCCAAACAAGTGGCACTGTGACACTGTCATGGCAGCTTATCCCAGAGATTTGGTACATGATGCATATCTCCAATATAATCTTCCTTATTTTTGTTTAATGATGTATTTAAAGTGTTCTCTAAGACCAGATGATTTCTATGTGCAGGTGGCTGAGTTGAAGGTATAGCCTTCCTAATCACTGGTTTTAAGATGGATCAGTAGATATATACCAGACTCTATAGTCAAGAAATACACTATTAAAAAACTGTCTTCTCTTTGACAAGTAGTCTGCCATTTCTGCCATTTGAAAAGTATAGGAAAGGGATAATTCTAGAATGAGTTTAACTTGGGAAATGGAGAATCCCAATATTACTTTACATAAATCTTGTGTAGAAATGTTAAGGCTCTGAGGTTGGTTGTGTTCATTTGGCTGTGGTAGACACCTTACAAACTAGCCTAGCCTCGATACCTTACATAATACACATCATGAACACATGTTCTCAAACTAGTTCTGTGCATGTACAAATTGTGAGATAGCAGATTGATGCGTATATAATTCTATGTTTATAATCCAAAAACCTCAGCTGATTGGGATCAGCTGTTAAGTTAATGTATGGTTTTGTGTATATATCCCATTGTAAACTCTTAGATTTTGTTTAATCACTTTCTAAACATGATTAAAATACTTTCATGCATTGGCTAATGAATTTGCAATACATAATACCCACAGTATTTGTAGCACCTAATTGTGATCACGAGATTAAACAAAAAGATGTGTGATCATGACTAGTGTTTCTCGCTGATTGTAATTGCAGTGGTCATATAATTAGAATTCAGAACAAATATATTAATAACTGATGATATAATAGAGAATGAAGTGTCTTGTAATGAAATCATAACTAGGATACTGTTAACAGGTATAACGCATAATCTGCATATGTAGAATTTAAAATGATGATACATCATCTTAAAACTTTAAACAAAGAAAAACAAATCACTGTTGTATTAGAATTGGAGTGGCATACAAAATATAGAAAATTAATTCAATTAGCAATCTAAGTTAACCATGCTTTTATTGACAGGTAGCTGGTTGACTGCAAAGGAATGATAAATTGTAACAATATTCTGATCTTTTTCAGTTCAACTTTGTGGGGAGAATATTGGGACCAAGGGGGATGACAGCAAAAGAGCTGGAACAGTTCACTGGGTGCAAAATAATGGTCCGAGGCAAGGGATCAATGCGGGATAAAAAGAAGGTGAATATGAACGTATGTAGTGATTGTACTATGAATTGTAACTATAGACAATTATCTAAACCTCTTGATATTATTGTAACTCTATGGACAGTTGTCTGAACCTGTTTATATTTGTCTGAACCTGTTTATATTAATGTATTGTAACTATGGACAAGTATCTGAACCTCTTGATAATATTGTTACACTATGGCCAGTTGTCTGAACCTGTTGATATTATTGTAACTCTATGGACAGTTGTCTGAACCTGTTTATATTATTGTAACTCTATGGACAGTTGTCTGAACCTGTTTATATTAATGTATTGTAACTATGGACAAGTATCTGAACCTCTTGATAGTATTGTAACACTATGGACAGTTATCTGAACCTGTTTATAGTATTGTAACACTATGGACAGTTGTCTGAACCTGTTTATAGTATTGTAACACTATGGACAGTTGTCTGAACCTGTTTATATTAATGTGTTGTAACTATGGACAAGTATCTGAACCTGTTTGTAGTTACAGTATTCACATGGTATGACCAGTCTCCTCTCAAATTGACAAAAATAACAACGACTGTAAATCGTGTTGAGAAGATGTCCGACCCTGACTTAAGAAAACTGATTTAAAGTCTGTGTACAATTCGATTCCTGGCCATCTGGTCCCCATCCACTTCTGTAAGGCACAATACAACTATACACATCATACAAAGTAAGACGAGGATAATAAAACAAAGACAATTACCCCCCAAAAATTGGAAGCACATTGGTAAGGGGCTGGTCATGCACCATGCCAATGATTGTGTTGGTACAAGTAATATAACGGTTCCGTCCTTGTACCTCTAGGTCCGAGTTAGAGGTAACGAGAAACACATCGCCATTATCTATCCTCCCATAGTCTGCTGTAGGGAATAGGACAGCCTGCTGAAATAGCTGTCCTAAAAGATATTTTATTTATCAACAAGGAATAGTTTGGCAAATTCTTTCTGGTGATCAAGAAAATGAATCAAATGCATTACATCATGTGTAGGAAAAATAAGTTGTATAAGATACATAGGGTTACATCTTTATAGCAGGCCATAAAACAATTGACTACAGAACAATGAAAATTAGTAGAATACCACATGGAGGCTGTTCGGTAGTTGTGGAGGGAAAAACAGTGTAGTGCTTGACACTTACCACAAAGGATAACACTAAGCTACATAGGAAGTCAGGTGCATGACGCACAGGGAGGGGACTCCCACTCCAGAGTTGGGACAGACCCAGCACTGTCCTCAGCCATCACACACAATATTTTAGAGAGTAATTTAGTGATTGTTTCAACGAAATATAGACAACTTCACAAAAACACTTTTGTTTTTCACAAAATCTATTTTCCAAACCCCACCCTTAGTCTTCCTTGTTGTCGAACAAATTCCTAAGGTATTCCTCAAAAAATGTCTATCTCTAAAAAGTTGGGTTCCCCTCCTTTGAAAAATCATGGACCTGCAACTGAATATATGTATGTTAGAAAATGAAGGATGTATCCCCAAGAACAGTCAAGTTTTGGGGATAATCCCACATCAATCAGTATGTGCAGGTCACCAAGTAAGGCGGCAATCACCCAAACCCTTAGTATTACATATTTTGGTAGCAAGAAATACTATTTATAGAATTATGTACAACTTATTCTAGCTGAAACATTACAGAGTTGTTGACTGCATAGTACAAATATACAAACCAGCTGTTGGTCGGTGAAAGCCCCAACATTGGTTACTGGATGATATTAGAGGCTGGATGATAACCTATCTCTAACAGATTAGCTATGAAGAGAGACATAAAGGATGTATATATTTTACACAATCATGGGTTATAATAAACCTGTTGAATTATTCCATGTGTCCCAGAACTTCTTCATTGAGACTAGAGATACAGCAGCTGAATGGCAGATAGAATAAGAAGTAAATTTCACATAAGGTTACAACATAAGAGTCTTGCATGTAGCTAACGTGTAGGTGTAGAACATGTAAATAACATTGCAAGCAATGAAATCAGGCAAATGGGAAGGCTGACATTTTAGGTAAATGGAAAGCCGACTTTTGACTGAACTGTTATTGAGGATAGAAGGATTGGTTGTGTGGGTTGGTTGTGATTAGGGTGGAGATATATGTACTCAAATCATCACTGGTCATGATTAGTGACGAGGAGTGGGGTCAGATCATCACACATACTTACCATTGTTATATGTAATACAACAGTAGGGAGATACTGTAGGGCACATCTTTGTGTTCACCTCACATAGGGGAAGATAAACAAACCGTGAAGCCACACACGTGCACACGTGTGTAGTCTGTACCGCCAATTTCTTTCAGTGCAGCGATAGGCGAATGTTACAATATACAGACCCTAGGATTCGAGATGCATGGACAGCTCTGATTGACTTATCTAGTTTATAGGCCGATTGGGTACTTTTTACATACAATTATTTCCATCGAAAGACTCGGATCAGGGAATCACTTATCTGAAAACAGTTGTACTGTCAGAATTTTCTGTAAAATGTATGGAAATCTGTATTGAAATGTTAACAAGGTGTTCAGGATCCATATACTGTATGTATAGATAAGTATTTGAGAACAGATTTGTTGGAGTCTAGCCAACAATGGAGATGACCCTTAGCAAGTTTGTTCCGATGAAACCCAGATTCTTTAACATATCTATATCTTTGTAGATATATGGAGATCAAAAGCAGATTGTGGTTCGAGTTTCTACCTTTAAGTGCAGGATCTGTAGATCTGTTGTACCAATATTAGAAACATAAGTAAGAGTTCTGGCAGCAAGTCCAGGATTTGTAAATCTCTGTATTCACAAAAAAACAGAAAAAGGTCGAGTCCTACGAGTAAATTTAGAATTTATGGATGTAAAAAAACAGATTTGAGTCCTATCATTCAATTTAGTATTTATGGATGTAAAAAAAAAGCGAGTTCTATGAGTAAATTTAGGATTTATGGATGTAAAATACTGATCGAGGTTTGAATTCTACCTTTAAGTTAAGGATTTGTTTATCTGTTCCAATATCAGAAACAGAGTTTTGAGTTCTTCCATTAAGTCTAGGATTTGTAGATGTGTGGATATGAAATCAGATAGAGGTTGGGATTTACCTGTAAGGTTAGGACTAAGATTTGCATTGCTAATGATAGTTTCATTTTGATTTGTCGCGGTTCAGTCATCTATAAATGTATAATTAAGCAGGTTGATGACAATTGGTTGTATAACCTTCTGGCAGTACAAGATAACGAGTGTGGTATCAGATTGATGATATATAGTTCTGTATATCTTATTGATGGTCTGAAACAGGAAGATATCTGTTATATTGTTATATATTCGCCACTAATCAATGCTGTATTTAATGGATGAAAGAATAGAGTGATTGACATGGATATTACAAGTAACTTGGGATTTCCAAATCACATTAGCACATTATAAAACATAACATCAGTTAAATCTGATCTCTATATGTCATTCATCCCATTTATAGGTAATCAAATATGTGTGGCATTAAAATTTCAAGTCCTTTTTACTAAGACAGGCTTGTGTTAGTATTTTGTGTGACCCAATTATTTTTGTGTTGTGAAAGTCGTTCCTTCACTTGGTTTAATTTATGACCAAATTCATATGTTAAAGTATCCTGTGGAAGGATATATCTATTTACTAGTAAACAATAACTAAATTTTAATGTCCACCTACTAGCATTAAATGTCATTTCTCTCATTTGTCATTGGACCGTTTCATGTCATAGTGTCTGATGAAGAATATCTAATCAAGTCGGTAATTAAGACTGATGACAGAAGTGTTATATGACCTGTCAGCTAATTATAAGTGGTAGCCCAGGATCAGCTCCGTAAGTCGGGTCCTTATCACCATTGACTCGTAAAAAACAGTTTTATAAATAAATGTTCCCACACATAACAATTGAATTATACATGAAACTTCTTGCAAAAAAGAAAAGAAAGTCAATCTTACAGTGTGCATAGTTGTAGGTTTATCAGAACACTTCCTGATTCATAATAGATGTGTTGATTTTAATTACGGTACATCCTAATTTAATATAACAGATTATCAACAAGCTATTCCATTTAGTCGATTCAGTAGAAATTCAATATATGATAACTTCTTGAATAATTTATAGTCCAGCCATAGCTTCTCTGTAATGGAAAGTTGCATTTTAACATTCAGAGAATCTGCATAGTTATGTATTTTGAGATCTGTTTAAATTGAACTTCATGTTATGTTATATGTTTGTCTTATTTTTTAGCATGTGTCATTTCAGGAGGAGCAGAACAGAGGCAAAGCCAACTGGGAACACTTAAACGAAGAGCTGCACGTTCTTATCACAGTAGAGGATGCCAGGCAGAGGGCAGAGGTCAAAATGGCCAAGGCCATTGAAGAAGTGAAGAAACTATTGGTGCCCGCGGTAAGTTGAAATACTGTTGTTGAGAAGGGAAAGCCTCAGTTTGTGAGTGTGGATGGTTTGAGTAAAGATCATTTGAGTAAAGATCATTTGAGTAACTATGTTATAGGTTAAAAAAAATGGTTAGGAAACATGTATATCAATTTATGTTGAAAAGGTACATAAACTTTCTGTTTACTGCATGATTGAAATCAAATTTTATTAACTTAAAAATAGTGAAATGTCAGAATTAGAACCTGCTTTTTGGTTGTTAATAAAGCCCATTTCACATTTCTGTATGCACGGTACATGTATAGCTTTATGAGGTTTAGGATTAGATCCAGGTACCTATTCAGTCTAGCTCAGGTGTCAACATTAGCATTTTAAAGCCATGAACGGGTAATGATAATTTTGCCGGCCTAAATTTTCCATGAATTTCAATTTGTAGTAACTATGTTAATAAAGTAAGAAGTATTCCTTAAATATGAAAACGGAGGAATTACAAGAGTATTCGGTTTTATCCCGCCACCAAAATTACCTTTAGAAGTGCAGGTATATTGCTTTTAGGGCCAAGTTAAAGGCTGAGGAAATGTGTGGATATTGTTGTGTTTATGTGTGTAGCTCGTTATATGAAACTCTTTACATTGGAGACCATCAAAGATGAATTTGGATAGTGCCGTTATGCTTTGCTGCATTCCACATCAAGTCTGTAACTGGACACTTCTGGCCGGTGTTTAATAAATCATAGCTAAAAAAAGTGTAAATGAAGTTTGTGCGTGATCAAATTTCCCCTTCTTTTAGACAGGAATATTATCTTTATGAATGGTTCTAAAATGGATAGCTGGACAATTTAACAATCGGTTTATATGTAAAAAAATTATTAACCTAGTGTATGATTTATTAGTCGAGTTATCAATGGTAAATGTTGACCATGGAAACATGTACAGGCAAGACTTGTGTTATCTGCATAATATTATAATCCTTTATAGTTCTGATGGCTGACTTTCAGATAAGTTTCTTGTTAGATTACCCTCTTGTAAGTTAATGACATATAAAAAAAAATAAAAAAATCCCAACCTCTGTCAAATAGAAATAAAAAAGATTCATAGTGAATGCCACAACCTTGTCTTAACTCCAGGAGAGATGAGAGATATCGCCAAATAGTGCTTGTAATGTTGAGAGGATCTGCCCAGCTTAGTTGCGTGTCCCTTTACAAAAACACTTGTTCCGTAAGAACGTATTTATTCTGTCATTACCTGGCCCTCAAAGAGAATTTCTCTTGTTGTGAAAAGTTGTCTGGTATTTCCACAAGCTTAGCTAATTTGTTGGGTTTAGGTATTTTCTATGCCACCAGTTTGTATAGGAGCTTCTGTGAAATCATAATACTTTGTATTGTGTAGTGAAGTGTCATCATACTCGCTGAATAGATCCCAAAATAGAAGGGGAAAAACGCTGTTAGCAGTGAAGCCTATCCTACCCATACAATACTTGGAAATATTTCAAACTTCACGTAAACCATCCCTCAACCTTTGTCAAGATGCCAGTAACATAATTTTGGGAATATTGAAAAACATCCTTTATTAATATTCCTACATGACTGCTTGGAAATGTTTTGGCTATGTATAACAAATTTGGTTCAAGGTAGTGCCAAATTCATGATTGTTTTCATTATTCTTGAGGACAATTTATTTATACGTTGAGACTCCAACATATTCCATTGGGGGGAAAGTAATAATTCAAAATGCGCTTAAGTTTATAACTTTGACTCAGTTTTGTCATTTATTATATTGAGATAGAAAATAATTGGCAAAAATATTTGACATGGATATGATAAACAAAAGTAAGAGTGATAAACATGCATCCTAATTGTATTATTAGTGGATACTGGCAGACCCCACCTCTAAATGCTTGAGAGCTCAGTTGTAATGAAGTTATGTTAAATTTTAACGAACATTTGTTAAAATTAATGTAGTATAGTTTAGGTCCTTTGTGGATAACATTTGTGTCTTCTGTTACTCAGAAACCATTGGTTTCATTTTAGCAATCATTTTAATTATCTAGAAAAATATTGTTAATTTCCACTACAAGCATGTCTGTATGTCCTACCACAGTTGAGACAGGAATATCAATGTGCAAGTATTTAAAACCAGACCTTCTTGGACCAAGATTAAGACTCTAGTATTGAAATGTGCAGCTGCGAGTCGTTATATCTGTGTTCCACAACAAATTTCTTGTCACAAACATTTATGCATTTCCACAAAACAGTAATTCTGCTGTAGAAACATAGCGGGGATGGTGGATTGAAGTTGGGGCTCCCACATATATATATCAGTACACTAGGCTGGAGATAAGACCTGGTGAAAACTGAAACACGATCCTTTCAGCTCCTGTGTAAGTTCATCTTTAGGAAACCTACCAGTGGCACAGCTTTCAAGCTGAGTTAATTTATTTGCCCCTCTGCCAGTTTTTGTATTGGCTGCTGGCTGGGGCCACAGAGAATAGGTATTGTTTCCTTCAGTGGCCTTTGTCATGTTCTGTACTGTTCCTTTAGTACCAACACAGTTACCATCACTCCTGTTCAGCAATATCTAGGACCAAGGTAGCATTTTTGTAAGCATTTACTTGATTGGTTCTGACAATGTTTTGAGTATCTGTGTGCCTCTCTGGCCAGTTCCCCACAATTTGCCCTGTTTCAGTGTGATGTTGGAGATAGTAGAGCCACGAGGAGCTCTCTCATGTGAACACTTCTAAACACAGAAGCTGTTTTATATCTTTATCTTGTCAGTCTCAATTGGGAAAATCATTAAATGGCCTAGACTTAGAACATTTGTGGATTAGAAATAATTTTGTGCATGGAGAGGCATAAAATACAGACAGAATCTAGAATGGTCTGAGAATCTAGTAGATGGTTCTATTTTAAACTGACTTGCTGGCACACTACATGGAATAGAACAAGTTGGAGTATTTAGTTTTGTCATTGAAAGTCTGAAACTAATAATATATTTATAGAGGAGTTAGATACACGGCAAGGCATTCACATGTATCTTGTAAAAACATCTGAAACAATTTACAGATTTGAAATTGAATTTGTTGGCTAGGGGGCAATGAAATTAAACAGTTTCAATTTTTATCAATAAAATATGTATGTATATGAATGTTCGATGTTGATAAGGCAGGGCTTCAGTGGAAATGGTTCCAGTGATATTTCTAAGATTGCATTTGTATTGATAGTAATTTTAACTGTATTTAAAGATTATTTAAAAAAGAACCACTTATTAGATTTCGAATGAATTGAGAATATTTGAAGAACCATTCAAACTTAATTTCTAAGGTTATTATCATAAGTGCTTTTATTAATTCAGGATTTTTTTGATTTTTTTTTTATAGGGGCTCTTACTTTAATATAGGAAATTGCATTAACAGTGGAACTTTCTAAAAGAGATTTTATGACTGATTATTAAACAAGTCATATATATGTTAAACGAATTTTTAGGTGAAGGTTACAGAGATGTGAATGTGTTCATGTTCAGACAGAGATATGTTAGTACAGGGACTTACCACTGTTACACCAGTACTTAGTTTTACTACTGATACACATAAGTAGAAGTAGTTCTACAACTCTATACAGTAGCATTATTTAAAATAAATACTAAGCATAGAGAAAAACAAGGGTGCTATGTTTGTGTAGGATAAACCTTAGGATTGGAGTTCCCATTGTAAGGTGTACCTGTGGTCTCGGAGCTGTTTATACACTACCTATTATTCTGGTCTCTATACCAGAGACCAACCAATTATGGTATCAGCCTAGCCATTCAGCCACATAGCTTAAGGCCCGCATGAATAAACCCATACAAGTTTTCTTGACAAACACCAAAGATATTCAGCTCCCAGCGACTGTTGAACTGTATGTAGAGGGGAACTGTTGCAATGCTTTGTTGCTCAATTTTCATAATTCGAGGCCTGTGGCAGAAAGTGTTCATCGGGCGTAGATAATGATGACCTACCTATGTCTAGTAATCGCTTCGCTGCCTTATTTATTACCTTTACACCATAACTCAGGAAGCACTCAACAAATAACTTTGAATTTAACTGAGAAAAAGCTAAGGTTTTAAATTTTGTAATTGAGATGATATCTTTTATGTTATTTGTGAACGAAAGCTGTATAGAATAAAATAATCAGCATTTTAAAAGTCTGCAATAGTTACCAATTATCTATATGTCTTCGCACTGTTTTCAATAGGAAATTTTGGCAATTTCTAAGTTTTCTGCCATTTCGAGATCAAGCATACATGGACATTTAAGTTCATGTTCATAAATAATAAAGGTCTCTGAAACAGGAGATCCATTTCAAACGACGGAAATTTTATCTTTCAAATCTATTTCAGGCAGGATTAGGTTTTATTTTTGTGTGTGTTTCTATGGGAAGTAATAGAAATGCTATAATGTAGAGATAATTTCATGTATTGCTGTGTTAGTTTAGTTAGCAATTCCTCTCTTAGCACATATGTACAGATGCAGCTTGGAGTTTGCTTTTCTGTCTAAAATCCAAATAGTGTCTAGACCAGAGATGTCCTTATATAGTATTACTCACTAATACGATGCCAGGGGTTGACTCTAGTACAGGTTACAGACAACAATCTCAACATTCCTTAATTAATTACAAATAATCGGAGAAAACTTGTAAGCAAGCTTCCATTAGCTGTAGGCGACCTGTTTGTATGCAATACTCGGTGATTGATTGAGTTCTAGTGGTAGATAGTGTTTGTACTACTGAAGTTCTACCTCTGTGCTGATTGCTTCCATGTACAAAATTGAGATCCCAAGCAAGTATAATTATTGGTGTAGAATTTGAAATTAAGTTTTTAGTGGATATCTTGATGCTTAACTTGGAAAGTAATTCTCTACATATTGGTCATTACAGAATGTTTTCTCACATATCTTGTTTAGGAGTCATTAAGATGAATACGCTATGTAACCTTCAAGTAGAAATGCAATCAGCTAGGTAACCTGTTTGTGGTATTAACTTGCATGTGATTTTGGTGTAGATATTAACTACAAATAGATTTCAAGGTTACAAGCGATAATGTCTATTGCAGTAGGTCTTTGTAAAGGTAGCACTCGCTGGTGGGGGTCACTAGGGAGGGGGGGGGGGATCTATATGAGGTGCAGTACTGGAGGATGCACACTAAAGCTCATTATTATTTAAAGATGTTGAAACACAGTTATTTCTGTGTTACAGCTGCCATTCCCAACCACAAGTTCTTTCTCTCGCCAAACTGCCATAGCCACACATGTGTATTTGTTTGTTAGATTTCTACATAGTTATTGTAAGATTTAAAAAAATTACTTCGATGCTGAGGTGGCAACTTTGGCATTAAATATAAATTAACTAGGTATAACATATATCGCATTTGAATAAAAAATACCACCATTTAGTACATGTCATATCTGTACAGTTAATATAAACAGTATTTAATGAAGCCCTGGTCACATAAAGCTGTTGCTATGGTTAGAGGCCTATACAATCAGGAAAGATCCTCACAAAATTTCACCTGTTATAACATTGAACAACACAGTTCTTCAGTGTTGCAACCATATTTCAACGGAAAACTGCATTAACAAGGGAGGTAATTTGGTGTGCTTTAACCCATGATGTGAATGCCATATATTTTTTCAGGCTGAGGGAGAAGATGATTTGAAGAAAATGCAATTGATGGAACTTGCTATTTTGAATGGAACTTACAGAGACTCGAAAATTGTTGCTCCCTTCGGGTTCTCACCCACAGGGCTTGCCCGTAAGTTTATTTTCACCCCCTGATCGCCATGACGACTAACCAGTGACGAACAGGGTGGTTTTTCTTGACCATTAACAATTTGAAGTTTGACTCGTGTTGTTGATTTTTTGCAGCCTGATGGCGAGGATGACTTAAAGAAACGCCAACTTATGGAGTTAGCTATCATAAATGGCACATACCGTGACACTTCTAAACCCTCACCTTCATCGAACTCCCAAACATCAACGACTCGTAAGTCACGGTGACAATATACCAGCAGCCAACCCTATCTATGCCAGTGTGCGGTGTTTAGCTTTCCTCTAATTTTTTTGTACCTGTATTGCTACATCTTTTATTTATCTTTGCATCCTTTTGGCAAGAGGAATTTTAATATCCACACCCATTTTATTTTTTCTTTGTCATTTACTCTGTGGTTGAGTGGTAGATGCATGAAACCCACCCTTGCTTACACGGGGTAGATTGGACCAGACTTCCCAGTGCGGGGACCATATAGTGCTGCTTCCAGTATAGATGTAGTGGGTGTATTGTCTCACAGCTTATCATCATCATCTTCATCCTCCTCCTTCTCCTCATCATCATCTCTCCTCACCTCTCCCAGTAACGATCACCTCACTTGTCCATTTTTAATCAGTGCTCTGATTCCGTCACTTCCTAAAACCTGATAATTTAGAATTTTTAATGGTATTTTTTATATGTATTTATATCTTTGCTAACATGGAGCGTAGAATTTTCATCTGTTAAGGTGTTCCAACTAGACTAGACCGCTTTGTTAACATGTTTTGAACAAAACTGCACCAAAGGTTTAATATGCTGCACACATTCATTGTAAACAAGATGAATCATTGTGAATTTGTTTTTATTTACGCTGTATATTTCTTCATGTATGGGCAAATTTGTTTTGAAGAGAGAGAAAAAGGCCCCGACAAGTTCCAGATAGTGATGTTCAGAAGCATGTTTCTAGATATTTTCATTTTAGCCAGAAAGGTGTGGAATTGTTTCCAAAACTTACACCAATACAAACGATTCTCATTGCACCAGCAGTTGCACTACTGTTTTATCCTATACACCCTCTCCAAATCCTCTATTCATCCCATTTTTTATACCTACAAATATCATTAGGTTTACAATGTACAAAATACCTGGTCTGGCTGATCCTAATTAGAATTCATTTTAAAAGAAGCGTTGCATCAATACCCATATATCTGTTGTGGAAGTTTTGATTGACTACAAAACTATTAATCACCATCACCATTCCGTAAATAAGGTACCATTCCATCTGCATGTGGTTGTGTTGGAGGGATCTAAAGGCCGGGCCCTAGAATGCATGGGTGAAATGGCTGAATTTTCTTGCAGTACTGGAACGGTTTTTTGTGCATGATTTTCTTGAGCCGGATGAAATACACACATCTTTGACCCGCTGTCTTGGAACAGACTTTGTTTGCTTTACTTATTTTGTATTTATTACACATGTTTTGATGTATTTTGCTAATCAGACCACAAAGCTACCTACATCAGCTTCACCTATCTTTTTATATGTACTAATCAAAATGCTTCCATTCAAATAAGTTAGTTTTGCTTGATGTTTGTGCCTAGCCACCCACATTGAATTCTAAGTTATTTACTTCTAATCAGTAAAAGCTCTATATTTGGTTTCATGGAATCTTTTCTCTTTTAAACACCTGGTATGTTTTTGTATATAAATTAATGTTCCCAGTAGATACTGATTCATTAAAATCAATTTGCACATGATGATTTTATAGCTCTTTCAAAGAACGGAGATTAAATCAACAAGAGGTGAAAGGCTGTAGTAGCTTTTGTGGTATCTATTTTCTTATTCTTCAGGTCTTAGAAAATGTATGACTTGATTTGAATGTTCATCTTTGGAGATTTCTGTCTTGACTTAATACTCCTGTTTAAATGTTCCCATAACATAGCGGCCATCTTTTATAAGTGGAGTTACACAGTGTTTCTTTATGGAGATAGGCGTTAGATATAAAGAGGAAAATATGATTCTGTTGTAATCTTGATAATTTGTTTTCAAATCCAAAATTATTCTTTGGTATGTAGAGTCGAAACAAAATAGAGAGCAACATTTTTAAGCAAATTAGATTGATAGACAAATACAAATCCTATATCCATATGAACAATGTTAAATACAAATAATAATATTTTTACAAAAATAGTTGATAGGTAAGTCCAGAAAATGGATCTTCAGTCATTTTATACATATGGTTAAAGTTTCGGGGGGAAAATGGATTTAGGTTTGGCATCAATAGAGTACTAACCTTGGTTAACATTTATGTTGATGAAATGGCTTGTAATATTTGTGCCACGTATGTGTGTGACTTCTGGTGCAGCAAACATCTGTTGACAAATATGGACACACATTTTCAATGACCCTATACCGACCCCTGTATACTGGACCGGTAAATTTTAATTATAATTCATTGTTTGACCAATTTTTGCCTTTTCACTTTTAAGCTGGTATGAAAAGACCCTGGGATCTTGCAAATATTCAAGGTGTAGGATTAGGAAGCCTAACTCCACCGTCAATGGGACAAGGAGGTTGGTTTATCAAAACTATCCAATCACAAGACCTCATCCTCTCACTAATTTCCTTTGTTTCTAACAGGCATTCCTGTAGCTTGAATTCAAATATTCAAAATAAATTTTAGTCAAAGTTTCATGTTCTAATGGATAACTGATTTGATTGTAAGCAGACATATATATCAGCAAATTGAAAATGTGTACCCATTCATTGTTAGCAGTATGTACAACAAGGTATGAATCTGTTATAAGTATTTTCTTGCTCTTTTTCTGATGTCGGATATGGTTATTATTTAACAGTATACTTTCGGAGATGATATACAGATCAGTTGGTGTTGTATGAATGCAGATCAAATTCTGCATTGTACTAACTTGTTCCCTCTTTTGTATTTTACTTACAGAAGGACCAAGGCTAATCACCACAGCACAACAGTTATCACACATTCCCAATCTACGCACGCAAACACCACAAGGTGCCCCCATCATCTTGACACCGAGGATCCCGACGAGTCAGGCTGGTTTAATGAACGGTCCCCCACCACTGGTGTCACCATCAGAGGCCGCCACAGGTCTGATGTATAATCCATACGAGTACAATCCGTACTCTGCAGCCGCCTTTCACCAAGCAGCGGCACTCATTGAATATCCTTCCTCCTTTGACCAAGCCAACCTTGGTATGTTTCCCATAGTGCGATAGATTTTATCATCCAGTACTGGCTTATCAACTAGGGAAATCATTTTATGAATTGCACAATCATTGTTTTGTCAATATATATGTATGTTGATATTTTTTCTCATTTTTCATTTACATGGAATGCTATTTTTATCACATGAATTTAAATTAAATGAAATCCACCTGATTTTAAAGAAACGATGTATAGGGCTGTTCCAGATACGAGTATAGGGAGGAGTTGAAGGGAGTCACCAATTAATGATGATATAAGGGTGTTGGGGTCAGAAGAAACGTTAACATTTGTATAGTGGGCCCTAGTGGGGGATTGGTGGTGGTGGGGATTTCACAACAGCGGTTCCTCAAACCCACCCCATATGTTTTTCTGGAATAGCCCTGAAGGGTGTAGTTAGATTATGTGGTCATTTTATTATTTTATTCATATACACTTGATTTTATAAAGATGAATTCTTAAGTTTATTTACACCAACTTATAATCCTTCATGTTTGTAAATTATGTAAAAAAAAATCCCTCAATTTACTTTTGGAATTTATTCCCATATTTTACACAATTTATGTTTTTGTTCACACAATGTAATTCCTTGACATTCCAAACTCATAGTTACTTGTGTTAGATTGTGTAAATCGCCTGTGTCTTCTGTAAATACCAATATTACACAGTAAATTTGTTCTATGCATCGGTTACTAGATTTAAGTCCCATATCTACAAAATTGTTGTAAGCTTAGATATGTAATGGGTCCTCTATGTTTGTAATGTAGAATTCTTTTCCACTTTACATGCAAATCAATGTATAGGACAAACATGGTATGTATAATATACCCAAAGCGAAAGTCCCACAAATAGAGAATATCAAAAATAATTTACATATTTTGTAGTTAAAATATTGCTTTCTTCTGTTTAAATGCTTGTTAATTCTTCACCATATCCTAAGTCAACTTGTCTTAACTCATGTTACTTTGTGGATAAAACTACAAATACTATCTAAACTGTTGAACATTTTGTCAAATAAATTTATAAAAAATTAATCTGGTAAGTCATAATGATAAGTTCACTGGTCCATTTCTTAAACAAGTCTTAATTCACTTACTAACGGAATATGATGTGCATTCCATATCGAATCACACGAAGATCTGTAAAAGTAAATTGAACAAAGGAAATCTTAATTCTGTGATTCTGTAACAGTAACTTGAACAGAAGAAAGTCAAAATTCTGTGATTCTGCCATTCATGCATTCCATTTATATTCCTTTTGAAAAGGAATGCTGAAATATTTGTATATAAAATACTAGCAGTAACAAACAGATGTACTAGTGGTGTAATACCCTTATTGACCCTCCAGTGGAGAACAGTTGACTTGAAGGATGATATATGTAATCACTCGTTTAAGTTATAGTTTCACATTTATCCTCTGTGATGATCATACCCGTTCACCTACCAACCAACGCATTATCTCTTTTTCTCCCCACAGGCAAAGCATAACCAATCCAAACTGGAGTGGCCAAATCTAGACATAAACATGCGTCCCTATGCTTTGTAAAGTGGAGGTAGACTTATCTGTAGACATTTCACTTGTGTGCCTCTACTTTCACCATTTAATAGTTTTTGTTGAAAATAAACAAAACATAATTTTCATTTGTTTCTTAAAATAATCTTACGTTTGGTGATGGATTTACACATAAAAATCAAAATAAAAAACAACCCCAAACCAAGTACTACGTAATACATATAAATTTGATTTAATCTAGTTGTGTTTGCTTTTGTCAAAATATTCCCCATGAATTTAAGCACTCTTTAAGAATTGTTATTAATCCAATAATATGTATTAATTTCAGCTTGCGTTTTTCCTTGGTCGAATGTTTTTCGACCTTTTTTGTCGTGACATCTCCTGGTTAATAACAGCACTAGATAGTCAGATCAGATGTATAGCTATGAAAAGTTTGGATTTTTGTTAATTCCAAGTTTGCAACTTTAATAATAATTTATAATATATTTTTCAATTTTATTTGTAAGGAACTTTTTTATATTATGAAAGAAGTTAATCCTATTTTTTAACTAATTGATTAACCTCACGATCTAACAGTTTAAATTAACACCCAAGTATTTTTGTGATATTCAAAAAAAAGTTTATTATTTCCAGCATATATGAATGTGCTGAAATTGGCTTTAACATGAACCAGTTGTCTTTCACGCTGAAAGTTCAAGTATTGTACATTGTACAGGCCATAGCATGGTGTTGTTGAGTATTGTTACGTTAGATGAACCAGGAGGTGTGGTTGACTGGTGCCATTGGACTTCAATGATAGTGTTTGCTTTCTGTCCTTTTATATACCTCTCTTTAATTCTTAACACAATAGGGATTTGGATGTTAACTTTCACATACCGAAGCGTTGCAGAAATATATCCCTTTGGTAACGGTTTAAACGGAAAACCTCATGTCATGGAACAGTAACATTTTCCTCTTAATCTCCTGCTAATTTGGCATATGCCGTTTCTGTAAGCTTGGCATGAGTAACAACAGCTGAATGAAAACTATAGGAATACGCTGCATTATCAAGTACTGCCTTAAAATGTCTGCATTGGACACATAAGTGACGGAAGGTCAGATAGTCCAGGTTCTCCAATCCAACTAAAACAAAAGTGGTCTCCGATTGTGTATCTGCCACTAATTAATTGACCTGTCTGAGCAGGTGCTTTCACAGTGTATTCATTATTCACATGACATTTAATAACAAGGCTTCAGACACATTCCATGCTTTATCTACTGCTGTAGCATAGGTATGTATTACACCTGTGTTAAATCGACACTGCCTGTATTATTTCATTAAGCTGTCAGTAACTCGTGTTCAAAACGGATAAAATTGCATCCTGATCCCAGCATTATTTGTATCATACTTAACAGAAATTAAACAGTTTAAGCATCTTAAATGATTATATTTCGCCTTAAATGATAATATTTTTAGATTTGTAGATTTGTATTCAAATCAGTATTATAGTGAATACAAGCTCGTAAGTAACAAACCAATTACTGAAATATTTATAACTAAGCCCACAAGACAAAGTGCCAAAGATTTCATATAAGTAGAATTAACTTAGAAGAATTAACCTAGTTAAATTGTATGGCTTTGACCTATCGTTACTCAATATAGATGCCAGGATCTACAGCCTATTTACTAAGGCAGGTCAGAGGTCAAGTCTTCGAGAGAATTTGTGAATGAAAGCAAACATTATCAGCAAAGTCAAATCATTGACCACCGAGAGGGAAACTCTCTTTATACATATATTTCTTTCTTTTTTTGCATTTGTCAAGGCCAATATCTAAATGTCTTGGGATATTGTAGGTGCAGTGCCTAAAATGAGGAGAACCCTCGAGGGAATGAGAGCCCACCCTTACGCAAGGGTTTCTCTTCCATAAATTTGGAAGGTTAGTCCCAATTATTACTTATATTTTATTTGAGATGTTTTGCCCTAGTGGAGTTCCATTTCTTTTCAAAGGCAATGGTTAACAATGATGTGAACAAAAAAAAATCCACTTTGTATTTTAATTGACCTGGCACAAAACTTTCTCACCATCTGTACATGGTTTAATTGATATCAAACATCCTTTCTCCAGAAATTTGTGTTGGAGTAAATCAAGTTAGTGCCATTTTGTTGTAATAAAAATACAAGAACCATTTCTTTTGTTTCCATCAGGTTTTGTGTTAAACCATTGCCATTGACAAATGCTCTGTATATGTAATATATATATATACATATGTGCTCTTTTTATACCTTTGATCAAAGTTATTTATATTTTACATGAGAACAAAAATCAAATTTTACCTATCCAACATTGATAGTTGTGCATAATACTTTTATTTAAGTTTTATATTTGATGTGCCTTAAAGGCAGGTGTTTTCCCTGTAGAGCTGATGTAAAACGACCGTACCGTATCGTCTCATCACAACTACATATAATGTAATACAGATAGTGTTGTTGGCAAACAGTACCAATATAGGTTGGCCATTAGTTGGTGAGGGTCAGGTTGGCCATTAGTTGGTGAGGGTCAGTTTTAGAAATATTTTCCCTGTCTGATTCGTCTCCCATCATGTTCACATATAAATTTCAGCATTTTGTTTAGCATGATTTTTTTTTTTTTGATGAGTTTAAAGTTTAAGAATTTGTTAGATTTCATTGAGTTATATACATATATATTACAGTAATTAATTTGAACGCAAAAACTAGAAGCAATACTCAGGATGTTACGTTTGATTTACATGGTATTTCCTTGTTTTGTTAGCTTGTGAGTGTTATATGACGATCAAAATAGAAGAAAAACTACTGCAAAATTCATAAAGATCATTTGTAAGATTCATTTTGTCAGAACCATTCTATTGGTTTGAACTCTTTTCATATGCAATTTCCATACATTATATTCATGATTTTATCGTTTAAAAGCCAAGTGTCAGTTTTTGTTTGGGTTTATTAGCAGAACATAAACCTATCAATCTCTATTGACAACCTGTTAAGAGAAATAAGTGAGATTTCAATAGAAAGTCCAATAAATGGCTCAGTATCTTAATATAAATCAAAAACATTTTAAAGTCATTGCTCAAGTTCCATACGTAGTATAGTTGGTGTTAGACTGAACTCCTTACCCAGCAAATAGTCCCCATACTGGTGACAGCAATAGCAAGGGTTTTCTACATACATCTAGTTATCTTTCTTAAAAAGTGTTCTTAAATTTGTTTAGCCATTCAAAATACAGTAGAAAGGTCATATATTTCTTAAAAAGTGTTCTTAGATTTGTTTAGCCATTCAAACAAAATACAGTAGAAAGGTCAAATTAAATTTGATTCTTCAAAGAATTTTCTGTACTCGTGGAATATTGTTTACAAAATGTTTTAAAGCAAATACGGAGTATGATATGGATAGGTTAGAACTACTGTATACATTTTATATGTGGAAGGGATCCTAAGGAATGCCTTAGTATCGCGCTAGATACAGATCATTATTACTCAATGCGTTAAATGTTTATTATTTTCTCGGGATATTAGTGCAAAGTCCATGCAAGTACAATCATAAGTTTGTGTAGGCAGATACAGCCAGTGTATTATTGAATGTCCCCTTGTTATTGTAGATGTCCACACTTGTTAGATATATATATATACAACATGACATCAACATTTTCTTCCAACTTTTACAATGAAAACCGTGTGAAGAGAAACACGTGCAATTGTTGTTATATTTTAAGTATGTTTAGGAATAAAAGCACATCAGTTGAGCAAACAGCAGTGTTTATTTTCATTTTAAATTGATGGATTCATGTTTTAACTGTAAATCTGCTTCCCTTTTTCATGTAGAATTAGATGTATATAAATTCATTGAAAATTGTCTAAATGGAATTAAAACCGCTTCCTTCCAGAGTTTTATTTCTGTATGATAAACGTTAAACAATTACCATTATAATTCTACTTCAAGAACTGCAAGTGCATTTACAGTTATACAACAAAGAACTCACTAGGGTGTTGCATACATGGATGGTTTTGGAACTGCTAGGAAGATTGAAAGCTGTAGACAAGCTTTAGAGGACGTTGGGATGGGATTACCAACCATCGTAACCAAGCTTTAGGGGACATGGGGAGGGGCCACTTTGCCTTATTCTAGTCGCTATATTTATGTCATGTCTACAACCTTCTCAACTCTTTGCTTTTAATAGTGGAAATTGCTTTGAAATTAAATCTAGGTTCAGATTGAAGAGAGTTGGGAATGTTAAAATGTATACATTTGAACCTCGTGTTTATCTGGACCTAAAAAAGTTTTCCATAGTGTTTCATATTGTAGTCTGGAAATGGATTTTCCTGTCAGTAGTCCAGATAACATGGTTCCAATGTATACCAAAGTTGTCTTAACATTTGTTTTGTGTTGACTATATAGAGAATACAAGCTATTACAGTAGTACTGCACAGTGTTACAGATAGATATGCAGTCCTCTCGGACATATTGTGTAATATATCTATTACATGTAGGCTTGGTTATACCCGATTGTACTCGACACTAATATGACATGTACTAACATTTTGAGGATTAAAGGTGTGCTATGTTAATGTAATTGGTATACAGTTATACATTAATCACTGTTCATTCATTCATTAATCAGGTCATTGATTGGTCAATGGCTGCTTGACCTGTGACATTTGCTTTTTATCTGTACACCATTCCTTCCCCTTCTATCTTACAAAACAAATGCCCTGAGTTGTGGGTTCGGCATGAGTTGATGTAATCTTTTTAAAGCATGAGGTTTTACTTCTCACCTGTAAAGCACACTTTAATCTACAAACTGTGTAGTAGTGTCACTGTTATTTGGGTAACAAACGTTATTATTACCAAGCAGAATTAATAATCATAATAATAATAATTTCTGTAATTAATTTTTCATATTGAATGCATAAAAAGACAATATTTATGGTAGCAGTATAAACTAACATTTCTTCTTTTTTCTTTTTATTTTTCACTAAACCTTCAGCTGCCTACCAACTAACTTATACCTGGTCACAGTTAAAGTCGAACCCCTTGCCTGTCCGTACGTATCCATGCTGTGCTGCTGCTACTACTACTTCTGCATCGTATTGGTCAGTCGGTCAGTCGGTCCAAACCTAACACATGTACTACTGGAGGGGTTTGTTGGGTAGCCGACACTGCACCACTTTAGACGGACCGACAACCGTATTTGTTGACTTGCATCACGAACCATCCACCTTAACGCTCCATTGGTAACTGCCTGGCAGTGGGACATAGAAGTTTACCAGTAACTACTTACTTCCAGACGTACTGAATCAGTACCCTGCCTTCTGCAAACAACATCCACTAACATTGCCTTCTACCAGCCTAGTGACTCGGAGGCTGAGCCAATTAACATTCTTATATCAGAACAGATGGACTATATACAAGTGTGATTATAGTGTTATATTTACACATGTTTGTATGAAAGAGCCCACCGTCCTTGTGTATAAAAAAATTTGACAATGAATTGTCAAAATGTCTAAGTGCCTGAACATTACTCGTTAACTAATTCCTTTGTACTAATTTGACTGTTGTGTCCGTTTCCCACCATAACAGTTATATATAGCATTGATTGTGTGCAGACAAAATATTGCAACAAAAATTTACCAATCACTATTTTTCGTTGAGACATGTCTATATATCGTATATATATTCATATATATCTTCTACATTTACCTGTACATTAACCTTGTTAAACCAGAATTTGATTAATATTGTTTTATGTTTATGTACAGTTTTTGGAGCTTTCTCTGCGTAGCTGTTTATACCTATTATATATATATATCCCCGACCATTTTTTCTCAAGGGGACAAATTTTCATTAATCGAAATCAAAATATAACATTTGGTCTTAAAAGTTTAATAATGTTAAACTTCCTTTTTTAATTCTTAAAAAGAATGCTTCAAGATAAATATACAAATTCATGGAGATTAATCACTATACAATTATTGTGCCCTGTTTTTGAGTTTTGAAAGTGAACCCTGTAAATGTCCTAGTAACCCTCGCCCAAGATGAGGAGATTGGTATGCTGAGGCTGTGTTATCCTACCAAACACCTGTACTACCGGGCATGGCGGCTCCATCCACCAGGCTCACCAATCAAGGGCACTTTGGCATGATCAGCTCAAAGTAAATGTCATTGATTTTCTTTGTTTTCATAAAACTTGAATTATAACTACATAATGTGAAGTGCTCGGTACTTGCGTATAACAGGTCTGGTGTTTGGTATGATGATATGGTCGTCACTAACCTGTGACTGAATTCCAACCATGTTATATATTACTAGGAAGTGATACTCTCTGTCCTTTGTTTGGTGGCAGTAAGGTGAGAGAGAGGCCCCACATAGTGTCATCAGACAAGATCTCAACCTGGACATGCATAACCTGTCAAGTTTGGTATCGACAAATCTTGCAAACTTCTGAAGTATTTGGAATCTTTTCCAGCGATCATTTCCCCTGATGTTATGCATGTCTGGGTTGATTATGGTTCAAACTTAATCATTTAAAATGCAATGTTGAAAGCTCCACAATATCTATCCTCTCAATATTAATTGGACATAGTATGAAAAATTATAACTGCCGGCAAAACTTTGTTGTTTTGATTGCTTCCAATATAATTATTAAAATGATGCGAGAGTTACTGACAATCCACCTCTTGACGCTTTCTTAACAGCCCAGGATCATGTTTCATTTTACAGTACTGTACATTTATCATGTTGATTGAACTTTTGCACACTTCAAAGTAGATTTATATGTCAGAAGTTTAGATCATTATCTGGGAAGTTTTCAAAGCAACAGGCTTTTGTGAGTCTGCTTCTTACTTGTGAGCTTATGAGCACAGCTTTCTGTTACAAAACCACAGTGATTGGTGTAGTGTTATTCCCACTAGGAGAGACTGTTCACTTCCTGTGGATTCTGACTGCTTCATTCAGTTTTAATTCAATAGTTGATAAAACAGGATTGTGTATAATATATAAACTAAAGTTATTGAAGGGAATTTTTTCTGTAATATTGTAAGTTTGCTTTATATAGAACTGAGCATACTCTGTTTAGCTATCAATGCTCACCTTGTCCACAAAATTGACCTTGGCTGATCAGTTAGGGTCCTAATACCTTGAGCGGTCAGAATCCATGAGAGGATGAACTATTGGCTGATCTGATACTGACATGATACTCGTTGTTGTACATATCGTTAGGACTTTCACATTGATGATGACAGGGTATATTTGGAAGAGATCTTTTTTTTGATCTAGTTTATCTAGATATTGTTTTTTTATCTGTCCTGCAATTTCAAACATATCAATATTTTATATCATTGTAGCGAGAAAAGAGATCAAAACAATTAACATAAAGGCATTGTACTTAGTATATATATATATTATATACATTTATATAAAGTTTTTGTTTATATTTCTATGCATTAAGTGGGAATATCACCGTACTAACTGCTGTGTACTGAATGGGTTCTGCCATGTTATTGGTAACTTTTGTATAGAAACATCATAGCATTTGTAACTTGTAACCTGTATATAATCTTCATGAAAATTACATTTATTAGAATAGAGAATAGAGNAAAAAAAAAAAAAAAATGAGAACAAATATATTGAAAAGAACAATAGTAGCTATGCAATTGATGATCATATCCACCTGCTTCCAGACTAACCTACCTACTGACTACATGTAGCTGGCATTTGCCAAGTATTCAGTGAATGGTTGGAGAATTTATTATTGAGATTTTTTGATATTTCAATTTTGGATTGTCTTCCAAAGATTGCACAAAAAAGGGATAGTTTATTTTTTTTACAAGACCTGTATATACTCGATGAATATAATATTTGAAATGGGAGTTCCTCAGAATATATGCACACATTTTTAAATTAATTTTATTCAGAATTTATTTATTCCGATAGTGAAGGTTGATAATGACCAATGAGAACAGTTTATGATATCATGATACAATCAAAATTAATCAAGATAAATATTTCCTTGTAATATTCATTGATCAAAATGTTAGTAATTGAACAAAATGTTGTAGTGTTTTTTTCGCCTACTTTTTTTCACTTGATATTAAGATGTTAAGTATCGGTTTGCCACCTAGAAGGAACTCCCATTAATATAACAACGAGGTGTTTTTTTGAAAGTTTATGCAATTTATTTTAAAAACGTGAAGATATGCTCATTTAAAATATATCAGTGTCTTTTTTTAAGTTTCATGTTTATTTAGAGTTAATTTCCTTTTATTATTTTGTTAGACCTTGGATGCAGGTTGTAGATACAGAAACCTCAAGTGCCTTTTACTCTTATTAACTGTGCATGCACTGATACTTGTGCAGGTGTTTGTACTGGGCCAAAACTTTGTAGCTACTTAGCATTTGTTTTGTGTATATTGACAACTATTTTGTTACTGTTGATTGTTTATTTTTTGTACATATTAACATGATATTTTGATTTCTTCCCACCCCAAATTATTATATATGTATATCATATCTTTTTGTTTTTGCTGGTGCAAACAACAGAAAATGCATAATAACATACTTCCTTGTCCTCCCAGACTGTTGGCGTGTCCGAAGAGAATCCACCAACAGCACGTGTTAGTTTGAAGTGTATTTTATATTAACATGCTGTAGTTCAGAGTCGTAATTGAAGTGAATCTCAGTTTTCCATATATTTCCTTACTAATTAGTATCCATATATATATATTATTCCTGATTTCTCCTACACTTTATGG